CTATCATTTGGTGAATATACACAAATAACACCAAATTAATTAAATGTTATTGGTGCTTATAAAGCGTTTGGCACATAACACAAAACTTCTTTTCTGATAAGGGTGTTAAATTTTAAAATAACAGACACACATATTTTGCACGCACACTGCTCTCAGCAGGAACATCCGCCCCCTTCCGGTTCTTGGCCCACGTGGTCTATGGACGACGGAAGAAGTTCTATATCTGAAGCTGTCGTCAAGGATATCATAAAAAGTAATTTTCGTTATTTAGGGATTTTTTATACCATGCAAGCATTTTAATCTACAAATAAAACTGTGGACCATTATATTTCAAATGTGAATTCCAAATGACATGCAAACATTGCTTCATCTTCATTCGACAATTCGCAACTAAATTCTGTGGACGATGCAATGACCTTGTTAATTAGGAAATACATTAATAAATTGAATGATTAGTGATATATTTATACAAATTGTTAAGCCATAATTTTTAACACTAAATAATCTACGGAATTGCTCTGAGCATCACAAAGAGCACCAAGCGGGCGTTGCCGGGCGACATGGGATGCTTACCTCTCCATGGCATCTGATCCCACTCTAATGTTTGTAGACATGTCTATGTTTGCTCCGATTCCAATTCGTATTCTTTCAGTGGAATATTGAGATACTGTTCGTGATATAAATGTCATAAAACTGGTAGTTGTATCTTCCCGACATTAACATGGTTCTTTTTAATTTATGATAAACGCCAAATAAACACCAGAGTGGTTTCATCCTATTCAGTAACCATTTTTTCCCGAAAATGCGTACATCTATACCGGTATACATGTACACTAGTTCGGGAATTCTTACAGTTCAGAAGAAAATCTTGTTTGGGGCTTAATTCGTTCATACATTTTACATATTTACTTTTTATAGCTACAGATATGGCCTTATTATACAAATGGTGCATCCATGACTTTAATTCTCAATTTCACTTTGAGAGTCCAAACTACCTTTTTGAATGTTGCGGCAATCGCAAATAGAACTTCATTAGGTTTCGAAAAAATATTTCCACTCCATCCAACACAGCATCAATCAACGTTCGGTTGATTGCACAGAATTTTTGGTCGTGAGCACCCTTGGAAGAAGGGGGGGGGGGGCTCCATTCCTAAAATGGAGGACTTTATTACATAGACTCGTGATTTGATTTCTTAAGTTTTTAATGGTCACAAATAGGCTACCGTAATCCTTCCCGTTTCTTTTCAGTTGATCCGCCATTTAAATTTCCTCTTAAACAAGAGGTCCATGGGCAACAACACACACCTGAGTAACCAACCCTACTGTCCTCATCAGGATGTTTTTCTTTTTAAAATTCCCCTCTTTACTATCTAGCTCTTCGGGAGCTTTGATTCATCAACATTGAAGCCAACGTTTAATATCAGTACAATCAAAATGACCCTGCTGCTATGTATACATACATTCATTTGGATCTGTTATTTTGGTCCATCCTCAACTCAAAAACTCTGTTCTGAGGAAAACTTATTCAACATACCGGGTATATTAAATACATTTTGTTTATGCATATAATTTAAAGTTCACCTGATCACATTTTATATTGAGAATCTGCCTCTTTTTATCCAGGAAACAAACTTCAAAGACAATAGAGTTCCGATATAGAAAACTATTATTAAGCCTATTCAGACGAAGAAACTCCTGCAAATAAAGTTTTAACAACTTTACCTTGGTCCAGTGTTACGTTTAGAATTCTTGGATTTATTCTTAGTTATACCATACAGTAAACTAACTACACAAAAGTACCCTGAAAATAGGATGCAATGTTCAGAAGGTCCAAAGAACCCTCTATTACACTGTTTTTGAACTTAGACAAACCAATTTGGCATAAAATAAGATACTTGTATCATGTGTATTTTGAAACGAACTCATTAATTTTTCAATATCTGGAGTTTGCCTTTTTTATTCAGGAAAAGTCTCATTCAATGAAGTAATGATGAAGAAAAAATATTGCTTTTGTTTTCTCATGAGAAAATATTCAATCAGTGCTGCTTAAATTCAATCTATTTTCAAGTCTAATGGTGGATCAGTCTAACTACACAAAAGTACCCAAAAATAAGGGTGTAGTGTACATAGTTCCTAACTGATGTTAAATTTTCACAATAGTACATGTAGTTTTTTTTTTATTTCATATGGTGTAGTTTCTCCCCATTTCCAAACTAAATTATTTCACTTCAAATGTATTCAAACAAATAAATATAACCTTCCTTCACCCTACTCATAAGTGAGCAAGAAAATTGTTAAATACTCACATTTGAACAATAAACCACTTTAACTTGTAGTCATTATAAGAAAACATCTTTAATAATTTCATTTAATTTCTATTTTTAGTTAGCCACAAGCATACACAACATACATGCTAAAATGCAATCATACATGGCAAAAACACATAATAAATAACAGCATTAAAATCAGAAGTGTTGTGCTGAACATTAATGAAGTGTTAAAAATGCATAGTTAACTGCATACTGTAGGATAAATTATATATTCTGAACACACAAATTCAGCACAGTTATATAGATATGTCTACTTCACAGATTCATTTCTCCCTATCACAATATCCTGCTTCTGATTAATAAAACATTGTATCTACACTCTCCTATCCAGCACCTACAACACCTGATAATCAAACATAAAAATACATATATTGCCTTTGCCTCTTTGTTAATTGACAGTTAATATAGCTGTTTTTTTGTTCTTATACTGCCAATAACTTTTTTTTCAAGGAATCTTTTATTCTTAATTCCTGTTTGAAATATATCTGTGACTTGTTTTTTTGCAACTGAAGAAACCTGCAATTCAATAAGTAATTTACTTCAATAAATATCACAAGGATTTAAAAGTTCGAATTTTGAAAATAATTCTTGTAGGTGAATAAAGGTTTATATATAATACATTTTTTTAATTAGTGTAAAAAATATTTTACAATCAACTTATGATAATTAAATGTTTGGCTTATTCTAGTACATGTAAATAAATATTAATGAATTTGTTGGTGGTGGAGCTGTTTATTTCAAATGTTTCACAAAATCTTGTTTCATGTTAACCAGAATTTGGAAAAGCTTACATCAAGCAGACGGAGTTTTAAAAAAAGAAAACTTACATATTAGAAAATTTTATTACATATTTTTCTTCAGATTTAGAAAACCAAACCTGAAAACGTGCAATTATCATATAAACATCTTCCCAATCAATTTTTCATTTTTAAAAATTCATTCTAAATCAAATTTTCAGATAACAAAGGTAAACCTGAATAACATGCTTTGTCCAGCAGTATCAGATCCATTTTATGGACCATATTATCTAATCTGTGCAATGACGCATCAAGGACTTCTCATACCAACTCTGGGCAAGTTTTACACATGGCTCTCAAACAAATTCCTCAGATCTTCAGTGAAGGTGGAGGAGGAGTTGGTTTTTAAGATTGACTGGACCCTGGAACCGCCGCCTATTTACAATCTCAGCGGAAAGAACGGCGTCATCAGCTACCAGGAACACCAACCAAACCCCAAAAACGGACATCTAGAGTCCTCCTGAGACAAACCTAGCTTTAATTCTACAAAAAGGACTTTCCTCTGTGTCAATATTTCATTTTTTTTTTAGATTTAGTAATATCTGTGAATAGATGTGTTTCACAAAACTTGAAAATATCTGTCCTTTTTAACTAATAATATAATTTTGCGCTTCTTAAAGATGCCGGAATCGGGTAAACGAATTCCCCATTTTTCACTGTTTTTTTCCCACTGATTTGAATGTTAACAATACGGAATATCTTGTGATAATATTGTTAATGTTCACACATGTGTGATCAAAAACTAGAGATCCTGTTAAGATATAATACTGTTTTGTATTGCTTTAGTGCTTTAACAGGAATCTGGAAAGGAAACGATTTTATAAATATTTTGACTTAAGTTCAGTATTCTATAGTGCTTGACCCCAAATTTAACATCTTTTCAATGTCCCAAAGAAACGTCCATAGTAATTTCATTAAAGATGCACAATTTATTAGAGAATTATTTTGCAAATAGTTGGTGAAGTCAATGCAATTAATAAATGGAAGATATTAACACCTCCTCTTTAAAGAAAAAAAAAGAAAACCAAGTCATAGTTTCTTAGTTTTCACCTTCTTTATTAGACTGTGCTTCAATTTAATTGTGTATTTGGGCATAATTTGCATGTATGTAGAGTAATATTCAGTTCATTTCACTATAGAAAGTGGAAACTATTTTCAGTATTACATATTGTAGAATTTATTTGAGTTGACACTTGTACATTTCTTAAGATGAATTCTCCCTAGACAGAATGATATATTTTACCGTATATTTGTATTATGAATTATTTGACATTGCAGATTTATGATTTATATTAATATACCGTATATTTGTATTATGAATTATTTGACATTGCATTTATGAAATTTCTTTTAATTTGATTTATGATTAACGTGCAGTAGCAACAGTATGCAATAACAAGCAAATTCAGAGAATTGTGGTCCCCCGCTTTCAGGGTCTTATTGATCTATTGTATATGCTATATGCAAATGTATATTCTAACTGTCTTGTGTGTCCTATCAGTCCATCTTATATAAAAACAAATTTTAAATTGAAGTATAAATAAAAGTTTTTTGTCAAAATTTATTTTTTGAATACATACATATAGTTCACACTGAATTATATACATAAACAGGTATCTTCAATAAAGGAACTTTTTTGGATTGTTATGATTTTGATATTTATTGAGGCAAAGTGCGTAGTAAAGGTGTAGAAAGTAAAGGTTACGTTCAACATGTATAAACATTTTCCAAAGTTTCATCAAAATCACATAGAATTAACGTATTTCAGATAAGGATTGGAAAATGATATCATGGCTTGTATACTTCTAAACTTGGGTCTAAAGAAATACTTGAAAATGCTGTTGATGTGGATCACTAAAGGTGTACATAACTCTTAAGAGCCTTTTGTGTGGATGCTTGTCCACACTACGTGATGGTCAGTATATGGTACTGGATAGGTATGTCCACGAAGGTATAAATCTTTGGTTAAAATGAGGTCAAGGGTATTTCCATTCACGTGGGTTGGGCCATGAATGATGTTACTAAGATTAAATTTTGATAGAAGGCTTGCAAAAATGGCATTATTTGGATCAAGATTGAAGTCTCCTAAAATTACATAGGAAATTTTTCTTGAATCAATGTCCATCAATAGAGCCTGAAAACACTGTAAAAAATCATCAATGGCAGGTCCCGGTGGGCGATACAGGGCCACAATCAATAGTGACTGGGATCGAATATGAACTGCCATGGCTTGGCACACATCTGATGAGGGAACATGAAAGTAGTCGGCATTTTGTTTGTTTGAAACATAAATTGCAATTCCGTGCTTTGTTATGCTGTAAAATGCTGAATGTTCCTGAAGATTATAATTGTTTTGGAACTGGCGGATATGAGTTTCTGAAACACATAGAATATCTAACTTCTGTATGGCAATGTCACTTTGCAAATCCACAGCATGCTTTGCTAATGTTCGGATATTAATATGTCCTATTGAAAGTTCTTCTTGTTTTTTTTCAGTCATTGCCATAGAACAAGATAATTGAGATTCTCTCCTCATTCGATGCATTTCCTCAAATGCATCTTTATTGACTTTTATATCACCATCGTTAAAGTTCACAATCTTTATGCCTTGTCTTGATGTTGCCCTGCTGATCATGGTGTAAGCTAGACCTTGCGGTGGTGGTGATTTTGTCAATCGCGTAAAGTCTGCTATCATGTATTCATAAGTGCTTCCTTGAGATTTATGTGCAGTCAGGGCATATGCTAGTGTCACTGGGTACATTTTCCTTTCTACAGGTACACTGCACTGAGATGCTAATAGAAAGCGGACACTTATTGCTTGAATTGGAACAGTATCCTTCAATTGTGGAGGTGAACTTTTCCTTGCATTTTTCCCAATGACATCCTTCTCAAACTTCATGTATAACTGTCCATTTAATTTGTTGTTGCTTGGAATATTGTAGTCCACTAGTGTTCCAATAACTCCATTTACAAGGTGGTCTGCAATATCGTAGTTCTTGGTCAGCATTAACCGAGCACCCTTAGCAAATGTCAAAGAAGATGGTAGACCACCTGTCTGATATAAGTTGGTAGAATTAATTGTGACTTTCTCTAAGTTCGTGTGTAGGTCATGCTTGCTGTCTCTAGCTTTCACCGTTACATGTGGTGTAGGAAGTTCCTGCAGCTTCTGAATGTTGTACTCATCGACTTGGCTGTTAGTCATATAGAGATGTACTGCATCTTTGGGGAATGCAGAGGTATCTGTATCTTGAAGATCTTTTAGCATAAGTATGTCCTCATCAAATGTTTCACCAGTTCTTACTCTTGACAGAACCTCAGCAAACTGAGGATCACCTTTTTGTCGTACAATTTCTGTGAGTTCATAAAGTCTGAAGTGTTGCTGCCAGAGAGATCCAACAAGAGCACTGTAGTCAGTATTTGGACTTGGTTTGAATACTGCCCTATCTCCAACTGGGTTTAACTGTAGCAAGTCTCCAACAGCTAATACTGATATCCCGCCAAATGGATTGTTGCTGTCTCGCCCTGTGAATATGTCTTGTAGAGTCAAATGAAGGTGTTCCAAAGAAGTTGCTCCAAACATGGATATCTCATCTGCAATAATAACCTTTAGGTGAATATATTTTGATCTCAGAAAGTTCAGCTTCTCTAATGATAACTTTTTGAATTCAAATAGTTTTGATTTTTCTTTGACTGGGAGACAAAATGCTGAGTGCAGAGTTGTTCCATTTATGTTGGAAGCAGCTTTTCCAGTTGATGCAGTCATCAATATGGTGGGCTTGTCTGGATCATGACCTGGCTGCCTTAGTGCTCTTGAGAGACCCTCATAGATAGCATTAACAACATGCGTTTTTCCCACTCCGCCTCCTCCACTAAGAAATATGTAAAAGGGCTTTGGTGCTGAATCAGAGTCTGTAGAAAGCCTTGTGCGTGTTGCCCAAAAATACAGATAATCAAAGAGGAGACGTTGCTTCTCATTTAATGATCGAATCATTTCATAAAACTTAGGATCAGACACAAGCTGAATTTTTCCTATGCTGTATTGTCGTGGTTCTTGGCAATTACCATCATCTGATACCTCTTCAGGGAGAAAACTTGGGTCAAGATATGGGTGTATACAAGCACCGTCTTTTTCTAGTTCTTCCAAATGTTCTTGCTCTACACTCGAAGCCAATTCATTCCAGATTTCAGGTGAAGCTTCATTTGGATCATAGTCTTCTAGTGCAGCTTCAACTTCTTCATAAAAAGGTTCATAAAGAGTAATATTACTGAGAATTTCTGACTTTACTTCTAAGAATTTCTCTTTGTAAGATAAACTTTTCAACTGTGATTCTGACCTCCAAGGCATGTACAGCAACAACAAGCGATGATAATACATTTCTTCATCTCTTTCTTTGGAAACGTAATGGTATCGTATGAAACGTGACTTTTTTCGCTTCGTTATTGTACCCATTCCATCTTTCAGAGAAATTGTATTCTTTATGCAACTGTCTGCGACTTCTTCTTCATGACTGTAATCTTCATGCAAGGAAGATTTACTTAGGTCATAATGAGATCCAAATTCGGCAAGACAAAGATTCTCCATGTCATCTGGCCGTTTTGAATATTTTTCATGAATGCTGGCAACATACAAATCAGTATCGTCATCCTCCATTTTTTCTAATATGTAGCGAGGTTTTATTAAGCGTGTGCGATTTTCTTTGAAATCAGTTTGAATAAACAGCACTTCAGTATTTGATTTCCTTAAAGGAAATGAAAGGATTCTTGCTATTGCCTCATGTTCGGACACTTCTCGCGACTTTCTGAATACATCACCAATATCACGTAGAGCATCTCTCATTGACTTATTTTCTGATTCCTTACAGGCCTTTCTCATCATTTCACTCATACTTCGCTCTGGCTTGCAGATGTAGGATGTCAAATAGGCAATGCAAGCCCATACATTTGTGATGAATTGAATATCCATATTTGAGCGAAGTGCCTGGAGAATGTATGGATTGTAGTTATTAACATATACTTCTGAAATACTTCTTTTCATTATCACTGTTGTACGATTCTTTGAGATTTTAAGAGCATTGATATAATCTTCTTCCGTGATGTTAGCTGACTGAAGCACTTCCTCAAATGAAACATTACTTTCTGCTGCAGATGTAAGAGCTGTGTATACCTTACTCTGTATTTTTGAAGAATTTTCAATTAAGTGTGCTGAATTTTCAGTATTTGGAACTCTAGAAATTACAGTTTTTGACGTAGGACATCTTGGGTAACCAAATCTACATCGAGTGTTATTTTTCCTGCACGTCCGAGTATGGTGGTGAGTTTGCCTTGATACAACAAGATCATGCAGAGGGTCATCTTCTGAAGGAATGTGACATTTTATATGTGTGTCTATAAATGCTATGCATTCCTCATCTGTGTTGATATCTATACGAGGTGCATCTTTCACATGTATAGCACTGTGGAAATGTTCTGTTCCACGTCCTTGCATTTCTTTTCTTAAATCGTAATTAAGTATTTGACCTATTGGGTGGGCACCACTGAGTATGACCTTTGTCCAAAGTTGTTCAAATATATAATCTATTTGTCTTGCGGCAATGACTGGATTTCTCTGAAGCCACTGTCTTTTCGTGTTCCAGTCCATAGCATTAATGTCATCAACAGTCAATGTGGTTCCATACGTCTTAGCAATAACTTGAATGACTTCGGGCCAGTGGAATTCTGCAGCTGAACCTGTCAAAAAGAAAGTGTAGGGACCCAGCTGTCTTAACTTTGCAAGCATGTCCAGCTGCATCTGTTGCCAGTATTGAGGGGTTCCTCTGATTGTCTTAAAGGTGGCATAAAGATGGTCATCTGTTAAAAGTCGATGGAACCTTGTTGGATCCTTCAGCTGCCCAACTGATATGTCCTCGTGGTATGATTTTCTAGTTGTGATTGAGATAGAATTTTGTACCTGTTGTTTTTCTAATAAATCGAGCATTTGAAAAACATACTCTGGGCACTCAGAAAATCTGGTATCTGTAGACAGTAGTCGCACATTAGCATACTTTTTTTCTGAAAGTTTCACAACTCTCTTCACATTTATACTGTTTTTTCCATGTGGAAATAGGTGAGGAAATGCTAAATATTCCCAGTTTGGTTCTGTATATGTAGAGCTGGGCCTTTGTCCCTCTGCAGGGGCTATGTTTATAATTGCATCTGATCCAACTGTAGGTCCATGAGTGGGCTGAAAGCATGTCACATAATTCAGTGCCTCTTTTTGTTGAATATGTTCTCTTACTTCAGCAGGCGCTGCTTCATCAACCTCGTCTTCACTGTCGACTATTGTGTCATCCTGTGCAATATTTGCATTTTCTTGAGTAAACGGAAGGTCACAAGTCCAATATTCATTGATATCAATATCTTTATAGTAAGGAGAATTAGCTTTTAAGTACTGAAGGGCTCGAATTATATGCTGTGGCCTGATGCATTGTTTATGCACAGCATGCTTGTCTGAGAGACGTCTCTTCAGAGCTAGTGTTATAATTTGAGATTCTGCAGATGTTCTTGGTAATGCATTAACAACTTTGGATAGGTCAGAAGGCACTAAAACAACTTGTCCACTGAGTTTGTGTTGAGCTCCTCTCTGCTGTGCTACAATTTTCATGAAAGGTAGTGTCTTAGATATTAGTTGAATTTCCAGAGGACAAAGCTCCTTCAGTATTGGAGGTATGCAGTCTAGCTGGAGTCCATTTGCTATGCACTGGGATGGCATATTGCCTTTTTTTAAGTTAAAGTGGCAAGTTTGGCAAATCCATAATTTATTATTGTCTTCTTCCTCATTAATATGACACCATTGGGAGAGTGTAAATCTTGAAACCTTGGGATAGGAGGATTGCTTATAACACACAACAGCTGTTCTATATAGAAGGCGCTTGCAAGAAACACAACAACAATCTGGACCTTTAGTTATTACTGAAAGGAAATTTTCAATAGTTGTTTCAATTGTCAGGTCTGAACGCTTTTCTCGGTGTTGTTTTCTGTCGTTCTCCAGTTGTTTTTGTTTCTTTGATTCATCTAAAGTATTTCTTCTCTGATTATGTTGTCTTTTATCTTTATCCCGCAGTTGTTGTTTCTGTGATTCATCTAACAAATTTCTTGCCACTTGATGTTGTTTTTTATCTTTATCCCTTTTGGCTTCCTTCTGTGATTCATCTAATGTACTTCTTCTCTGACTATGTTGTCTTTTATTTTTTTCTCTCTGTTGTTGTTTCTGTGATTCATTCAATGAATTTCGTGACACTTGATGTTGTTTTTTATCTTTCTCCCTTTTGACTTTCTTCTGTGATTCATCTAATGTACTTCTTCTCTGACTATGTTGTCTTTTATTTTTTTCTTTCTGTTGTTGTTTCTGTGATTCATCTAATGTACTTCTCTGACAAGTTGTTTCTGTGTTTCATCTAATCTCTTTCGTCTCTTTTGATGTTGCTTTTTATTCAGTATCTGCTGTTGTAGCTTTTCAGCATCATTTAAGTTTTTACGTTTCTTTTGTTGTCGTATTTTGTCCTTTTCTCTTTGAAGTCTTATTGCCTCATCTGATGATAGTGACATTTCCCTGTGTTGCTTTTGGCGAATACGGTTTTGTTCCTTTTGACAAACCTGATTCGCCATGTATGAATCAGCTGAAGACATGAGCAGGTCTGTTGATTGAACAGGAAATAGACTTACTTTCTTCATGGATAAGCACTTTCTCAAATGACTTGCAGCAACAGAGATATCAAAGTTTATCTGTGTGCAATCTATATCAAGAAAGCAGGAAAAGGCAAAGGCAATTGCCATTATCCCACATATAGGTTGTGTTGACTGCTGTGTTACAGCTGGATATTTAACTCTTGTGACACAGTCCTCTCCATATATTATTTGCAACTGTGGAAGAACATCAACAAACTTTTTTTGTGACATCAACGAATCAAACACATTTATTCCCTGGTTAGGTTGTTGGTATGATGTCATCCAGTGGCCTGCAATGTGGTGAATGTTAATGCACAGTTGATCATTTGGAACAATTGGTTTTTGTAGAGTTTTATCTTTTGTAGTGAGGATGGGTTTCATTTCTGCCGGTGTGTAGTAACCAATAAACTCGACTCCACGTTGTGTATAGTTCTCTCTCATGAGCTCCAATGCACTGCAGACAACATCATCAGTTATGTCTGTTGTCCCATCGCCAACAAGTGACGCTACATCCTTTACTGTACATCTAACTTCTATGTCCTTTGCCTTTGAAACTCTGCTATCAATTCTGCCCTGCTGTAAACAGAAGATACATATACTTTATCATATAGCAAGCGAATTTATGTTTATTGAATGTGTGTTAATTGATCATGATCTGTAATTTACTTACCTCAGGAATGGAGAGTGGAGAGTTTTCCAGCTTTGTTTCATAAGTGTGTAACTCATTATATCTACACGTTGATGTCTGAAAGAATAGTATATTGGACTGAAGTCATTCTAATGGTTATAAAAGTGAAACAGGAAACCAACTCAGATGTGCATGGAATTAATGATAAGAAAGTTTATGAATTGTATTATTTCATATTGAGGAAAATCTCACTTTGTGGATCTGAAACTTCTGGTATGTGCTGAAAATCTTCTTGCATGTTGGACAGTAAGAACACTTGTGGTTTGTAAGAGTTTTGAATGATTTGTAGGTTCGTTTACAGAGTTCACACTGAAACTGGTTTCCAGTATAGACATGTGCACCTTTATTTCCTAAGAGATAATGTTGCGAAGACATCCTAGAATATAACAAATGAAAGAATTTTACTTCATTGATAACAACAGTTGATTGTAAAAAATATTTTCATCTTAAGAAAATTATAGCTGGAGATTAGTGAATGATATGTAACACATTAACTGTAATATAAAATATGACAAAAATGGCAATCTGCCTTACATGAAATTAAAACAGTAATAATTTCGACGGAATTTATAATCAAATTTTAATTTAAAAAAAAATAGGACAGTCACAAAAAAAGTAATTGAAAAAATTGGAAAATGTCTGAACATGGGACCGTAATGAAATAAATGGTGAACACTGAACAAACAAAAACAATTAGAATACAGTATATGAAAACTAGTTAATTAATTAAGAATATCGGGACAATAATGTACCTACCTAGTGCAGTAGCCAATGTAATCTGGAGGTGAGATTCATGGTCATAAATATTATGTACCTAGCTAGTACAATAGCTGACATAATCTTTATGATATATATGCATATATATATATATATATATATATATATATATATATATATATATATATATATATATATACACAGAAACACATAAGTAGCAAGGGAATTTTGTACAATATTGACTACAAACCATCAATTGATTATGGATTTGTAATTTACTTACCTCAGGTACAGAGATAATAATATGTTTCATAAGTGTGTAACTCATGATGTTTTTAATAGAATATGCAATAAAGTACTAATGGTTATAAAAGTGACCAAAACTTGTAACAATGAATAACAGGCCCAGATGTCATGGAATCATTGCAACAACTTTAAGAATTTATGAATGTATTACAATTTTGAGGAAAATCCTTTGTAATCATAACAAACTTAGCATGTTTAGTTTGGTTACTTAATACCCATAGACAGAGTAGGGGAACAAAAAAATGTATCTCAACTAGACAGTAATATTAAGCAATGATCAGTAGTGCCACTACCACACATGAACCCCTGACCCTTGGTCCACACATCTCACAATTTTGGAAAAGGCACCCTTGCTTGTCAAAAATGTTTGATTAATGGAAAGGAGAAGATTTCAATCAATTAATTCATTTTCACTATATAAGTAGACCCCCCCCCCCCCTATTTCAAGATTCAGGAAGAATGGCCCTTGCTCATGTAGGCAGTTCATCTGCTTAATACCCAGGAGCAGCGAAGAAGATTTTCAAACAATTTCTGCGTTTTCTCTATTAAACCAATAGAGCCCCCCTAACAACAGAACCCCTGTAAGAGAAATGCATAGAATAATGAAAGGCATGTTATCATAATTATATATTTAGTTTGTTGAATACTTAGCAGCAGAAAATTTTTTTAAACAAATTATAGCATTTGATGATATAGTGAATGATATGTAACATAGAACCCGGTAAAATATAAAATTGACAAGAAATTGCAATCTGCCTTACATGAAATATTTAAAAGTAATAATATCCAGCAGCAGAAAAGAAATTTAGAATCTGCATTTTAATCTAATAAAATTAGGACAGTCACTAAAAAATGACCCTTGAAAAAATTTTGGAAAAAATTCTTCCTCATCATAAATAATAAATGGTGTTTATTAATACACAAAAACAAAGAAATAGACTAGTTAATTTAAAGAAATAATGCATTTTCACTATATTAGAGCCCCGCCCTAACACTAAAACCTGATGCAATATTCACAATTTTGCAAAAGGCATTCATTGTCATAAATATTATGTACCTAGCCAGTTTACAATAGCTAACATAAAGGATGTTTTTAATAATGCATTTTATCTATATAATCATACTAATTTGCCATAAAACAATTTTGTTAATAAAAATATGAAAACACAGAAACACATACTAAGTTTTAAGAATGTACAATAATGACTACAATACCACCATATATTCTGGTCAATTCTTTTTAATACAGTTCTACAACAGTACTTAGCCTAACAGAGACATAAATAATGTTATTTATGCTTCTGGTGATAATTATAATAAATATTGAACTGATGTTTTTAATTATGCAATAAAGTACACGTTTTTAAATAGTGAACAACAAAACTTATAATAATAAAAAGACAAAAAAGATTATGAAAACATAATTACATTGTAACAGGGATATCTAACTTTCCTAGAATAAAATGATAAGATTGTAACAAATTTCCAGGGTATATTCATTGTGAATAATAAGAATCAATTTAAAAATATTAGAGGTTTTACGCGTCTTTTTGTAAGAACATATATTGCAGCGATTCTGCGTTAGCTACCGGCTCTGGATTATATACTCTTAGAGTTATTTTCCAAGTGATGTCAGTTAATTTCATTTTCAAGGGTATGTTCTATTACGTACAACATGCACTAATTGTGCAAAAATTAAATTATCAGGTTTTACCTTACCTCCTTTGTCTGAACATTGCAGCGAATATGCCTCCGTTGTTAGCTACTCGGTGTTATATACCCTTAGAACGATTCATTTCAATAGGGGTGTCAGGTTATTCCATTGTCGCGATCGTGTTCTATAACTTTTCAACATGTTTTAGGTATCTCTTCTCATTCAAAAGATATGGTCAAGATTAAAGTTTTTAAAAGATGATAAAAATTCAAGGTCAAGGTCACGAGATGAAAAATAATAATTGTGCAAAAATTAAAATACCAGGTTTTACCTTACCTCCTTTGTCTGAACATTGCAGCGAATATGACTCCGTTGTTAGCTACTCGGTGTTATATACCCTTAGAACGATTTATTTCAATAGGGGTGTCAGGTTATTCCATTTTCATAGTTGTGTTCTATAACTTTTCAACATGTTCTATACCCTTCAAGGTCAAACGATTTATTTACCAATAGGGGTATATCTTAGAAGGTTATTTCATTGTCGCGGTCGTGTTCTATTACTTTTCAACATGTTCTAAGTATCTCTTCTCATTCAAAAGATATGGCCAAGATTTAAGTTTTTGAAAAGTAGATAAAACTTCAAGGTCACGGCATAAAAAATTATAGTGTATTTAGAAAGGTCTTGTCACAGGTTATATACAAGTGTAACATGAAAGCCCTATCTCTTCTTATTCAAAAGTTATGGCCAAGGTTAATTTTTTTTCATAAGTATAGAAATTGCCAAGGTCAAGGTCAAAAGTTCAAATTTGTTTGTTGCAAATGAAAGTTCTTGCCACGAACAATACATGTGTGAAATACAAAAGTCCTATAATCTACCGTTCAAAAGTTATGGCCAAGGTCATAGTTTTTAAAAAGTAGGTCAAACTCCAAAGTCAAGGTCAAAGGGTCAATGTTCTTGATATCCAATGAAATGTCCTGTCGCAAGGATTACATAGGTGAAGTATGACAGCCCTAGCTCTAACCCTTTAAAAGTTATGGTCAAGGTTTGTTTTTAGAAGTATGTCAAACTCCAAGGTCAAGGTCAAAGGGTCAAAGTTCTTGGTATCCAATGAAAGGTCTTTTTGCAAGAATAACATATGAGAAGTATGAAAGCCCTAACCTTAACCGTTCAAAGATTATGGCCAAGGTTAAAGTTTTTTATAAGTACGAAAATCTCTAAGGTCAAGGTCAAAAGGTCAAAATTGTTTGTATCTAATGAAAGGCCTTGACAAAAACAATATATATGTGAAATATAAAAGCCCTAGGTCTTATCGTTCAAAAGTTATGGCTAAAATAAAAGTTCAGAATTTTAGTGTTAAAGTGGGTCAAAATCCAAGGTCAAGGTCAAAAAGTCAAATTTGGTGGTACCCAAAGAAAGGTCTTGTCACAAGGAATTAACATGTGAAATATAAAAGCCATAGCTCCTCCCAATCAAAAGAATTTTTAGCTCACCTGAGCCGAAGGCTTAAGTGAGCTTTTCTGATCACATTTTGTCCGTCGTCCGTCCGTCTGTCTGTCCGTCCGTCTGTAAACTTTTCACATTTTCGACTTCTTCTCAAGAACCAATGGGCCAATTTTAACCAAACTGGGTACAAAGCATCCTTGGGTAAAAGGAAGTTTAAATTATAAAAATGAAGGGCCAAGTCCCCTTAAAAGGGGAGATAATCAAGAAAAGACAAAAATGGGGTGGGGTCACTAAAAAATCTTCTTCTCAAGAACCACTGGGCCAGGAAAGCTGAAACTTATAAGGGAGCATCCTTGGGTAGTGTAGATATTAAATTGTTAAAATCATGACCCCCGGGGCTAGGGCGGGGCCACAATAGGGAATCCAAGTTTTACATAGAAATATATAGAACAAATCTATAAAAATCTTCTTCTCAAGAACCACTGGTCCAGGAAAGCTGAAACTTATGTGGAAGCATCCTTGGGTAGTGTAGATATTAAATTGTTAAAATCATGACCCCCGGGGGTAGGGCGGGGCCACTATAGGGAATCCAAGTTTTATATACATAGAAATATATAGAACAAATCTTTAAAAATGTTCTTCTCAAGATCCACTTGGCCAGGAAAGCTGAAACTTATGAGGGAGCATCCTTGGGTAGTGTAGATATTAAATTGTTAAAATCATGACCCCCGGGGGTAGGACAAGGCCACAATTGGGAATCCAAGTTTTACATAGAAATATAAGGAACAAATCTTTAAAAATCTTCTTCTCAAGAATCACTGGGCCAGGAAAGCTGAAACTTATGTGGAAGCATCATTGAGAAGTGTATATTTTAAAATAAAAAAGGGATGGGGGTTGTTGGGCATGATAGGTATAGCAAGAGGGGGAATCTGGGAAAGATCTGCATCACCCAAGTTACTCAGGTGAGCGATGTGGCCCATGGGCCTCTTGTTTCTTTTATGTAAAAAAAATTGTGTGGTATCCATTGGGTTCGAACCCTGGCAAAAAAATCCTGAGTTGCATTCTCTTTTGAGACCAGCACGCAAACCAATACGCTACACAAGTCCTGATGAAGTGTGGCATTGAAATCATGGACTTCAAGTATTTCTCGAAAAGATACGAAAGTTATACCATAAAATTATATTTTTAAGGCATAGTGGGTCTTTGCTCCATAATTTTGGAAACCAAAATATGCATAATTTTATGCAAACTTTGAGGATTACATTTAAAAAAAAAATGGAGAGAAGACCCACTCATAACGAAAATAGTGTTAAAGTGTGAAAAAATGACTCGATTTGTCCTCTTTCGTGTGTGTATAATATTTCATAGGCAAATAACTTCAATCTTCTTGAGATTTATGCAAGTTGTAGAGATTTTACATAAAGTATACTTTATTGTTAGATGAAATATTAAGGAAAATTTTGATATAATTAAGATTTAATTTTTGACCTTCATGTTTGTAGCATTATGGGCTTATCTCTCGTCATGTTCACCCATCTCCTTTCTGTGAAAAAGGTTTTATCTCATACATGATTTTTCCCACCAAACCAACCCCAATAACAGACATCTAAAGTCCTCCTGAAACAAACATAGGGATATCACCAGGACCACCAAACCAACCCCAATAACGGACATCTAAAGTCCTCCTGAGACAAACCTAGCTTTAATTCTACATCAGTCACCAGGACCACCCACCCAACCCCAATAACGAACATCTAAAGTCCTCCTGAGACAAACCTAGCTTTAATTCTACATCAGACACCAGGACCACCAAACCAACCCCAATAACGGACATCTAAAGTCCTCCTGTGACAAACCTAGCTTTAATTCTACAACAGTCACCAGGACCACCAAACCAACCCCAATAACGAACATCTAAAGTCCTCCTGAGACAAACCTAGCTTTAATTCTACATCAGTCACCAGGACCACCCACCCAACCCCAATAACGGACATCTAAAGTCCTCCTGAGACAAACCTAGCTTTAATTCTACATCAGTCACCAGGACCACCCACCCAACCCCAATAACGGACATCTAAAGTCCTCCTGAGACAAACCTAGCTTTAATTCTACATCAGTCACCAGGATCACCCACCCAACCCCAATAACGGACATCTAAAGTCCTCCTGAGACAAACCTAGCTTTAATTCTACATCAGTCACCAGGATCACCCACCCAACCCCAATAACGGACATCTAAAGTCCTCCTGAGACAAACCTAGCTTTAATTCTACATCAGTCACCAGGATCACCCACCCAACCCCAATAACGGACACCTAAAGTCCTCCTGAGACAAACCTAGCGTCATCAGTCACCAGGATCACCCACCCAACCCCAATAACGGACACCTAAAGTCCTCCTGAGACAAACCTAGCTTTAATTCTACATCAGTCACCAGGATCACCCACCCAACCCCAATAACGGACATCTAAAGTCCTCCTGAGACAAACCTAGCTTTAATTCTACATCAGTCACCAGGATCACCCACCCAACCCCAATAACGGACATCTAAAGTCCTCCTGAGACAAACCTAGCTTTAATTCTACATCAGTCACCAGGATCACCCACCCAACCCCAATAACGGACATCTAAAGTCCTCCTGAGACAAACCTAGCTTTAATTCTACATCAGTCACCAGGATCACCCACCCAACCCCAATAACGGACACCTAAAGTCCTCCTGAGACAAACCTAGCTTTAATTCTACATCAGTCACCAGGAGCACCGAATCTGGAAAGGAAAATATATCACATAGAATTGTTAAGTTCGGTATTCTATGGTGCTTGAACCTAATTTGACATCTTTTTAAAATCCAAAAAGAAATATCCATTGTATATCACTACAGGCATCCAATTTTCTAGATTATTTTTCAAGTACCGGGTGAAGTCAATTTAAACAATGAAAGTCCCCCCATTAATAAAATATAAGAAAGTTCCATTTTCTCTATTACTTTTCAAGTACCGGGTAAAGTCAATTAATACAATGAAAGTCCCCTAATTTAAAGTGCGTAAATTATTCCAAGTACATTGCCAGAGTATGTGTATTAAGGGACTCCATGTCGCCAAATCAAAAACATTTCTAAAATAGAAATTCTGCAGAAGTTATTCATCAATAGAAAAATTATTATCATTAAAATTATTGACATTCCAAACATTATGCAATACACACAGAGTATATTTATAACTTTAATAAAACCATCCCAGATTTAAAAAAAATACTCGTTTGATTGGCAGCACTCAAACGTCTCGCTAAAAGAGAGCAACCTTCGTTGTCACCTATTATTTCTTTAGAACAATTATTGACTTGAAAAAATATCTTTTTTTTTTCAATTAAAACCCGATTACAGAAAGCCAGTTTGTGGATAAAGTATCAGGCTGACTATCAGCACACAAACTCTTCATAAAATTATGCAGATAAAATAACACACCTAGAACAGAAGGAATACGTAAATACTTGCTTGAACAAATGGAAGATAAAGAGCATTTTCTTCTTTATTGCATCATTTCCAAATGAAAGAGAGGACCTGTTAAATTTTAATATCATATAAAGTAAATTATCTTATAAATCGCATGATGAACAATTATTACTTTGCATTCTAAATTGTGAAAAAATAGACATAAAAAATTGTCTTGAAATTTTTTACAATAAGCAATATACAAGTTTTAAAAAAAATTAAAATTGTTATAAATGCAACTTCCATTGTGTTAAGCTCAATATACGTATATCATTAAGTGTGTTTATTTTGTTTAATGGCGATAAAATTAAAAATATTTTCTACACAAAAATACTGACATCAGGACTACAGTGTACTTCATAATTTATTTGTCTCCGTGAAATTACACCCTCTCCGTGTGTCCATTTTGTGAAGCCATAGAAAGCGGTGTAACATTTTATCTTTATACGTGTTGGCATCAGCATGTTCTACTAAATATTTAACTATCTCGGTATGTCCATTCTATAATGCTTTCAACAGCGACGTAATATTTCTGACATTATAAAAATTGACATCAGCACCGTTAACTATCTCAGTATGTCCATTTTGTGATGCTCTCCACAGCGGTGTTACATTTCTGACATTATAAATATTGACAATATTTAACTATCTTGATATGTCCATTTTGTGATGCTTTCCACAGCCGTGTAACATTTTCATCATAATAAATATTGACATCAGCACCGTGTTCTACTAAATATTTAACTATCTCAGTATGTACATTTCGTGATGCTTTACACAGCGGTGTAACATTTCTGACGTTATAAATATTGACGTCTATCATCAGCACCGTGTTCTACTAAATATTTAACTATCTCAGTGTGTCCATTTTGTGATGCTATACAAAGCGGTGTAACATTTTCATCACAATAAATATTGACATCAGCACCGTGTTCTACTAAATATTTAACTACCCCGGTAGTCCATTTTGTGACGCCAGGACAGCGCTGTAACATTATCATAATCATAAATATTGACATCAGCACCGTGTTCTACTAAATATTTAACTATCTCAGTGTGTCCCTCTTGTGATGCTATCCACAGCGGTGTAACATTTTTATCATTATAAATATTGACATCAGCACCGTGTTCTACTAAATATTTAACTATCTCAGTGCGTCCAATTTCTGAAGCTTTCCACAGCGGTGTAACATTTCTGACATTATAAATATTGACATCAGCACCGTGTTCTACTAAATATTTAACTATCTCATAGTGTCCTTCTTGTGATGCCATGAACAGCGGTGTAATATTTCTGACATAATAAATATTGACATCAGCACCGTGTTCTACTAAATATTTAACTATCTCAGTGTGTCCTTCTTGTGATGCTATCCACAGCGGTGTAACATTTTTATCATCATAAATATTGACATCAGCACCGTGTTCTACTAAATATTTAACTATCTCAGTGTGTCCATATTGTGATGCTATATACAGCGGTGTAACATTTCTGACATTATAAATATTGACATCAGCACCGTGTTCCACTAAATATTTTACTATCTCAGTGCGTCCAACTTCTGAAGCTTTCAACAGCGGTGTAACATTTCTGACATTATAAATATTGACATCAGCACCGTGTTCTACTAAATATTTAACTATCTCAGTGTGTCCCTCTTTTGATGCTTTATACAGGGGTGTAACATTTCTGACATCATAATAATTGACATCAGCACCGTGTTCTACTAAATATTTAACTATCTCAGTGTATCCATATTGTGATGCTTTCAGCAGCGGTGTAACATTTCTGACATTATAAATATTGACATCAGCACCGTGTTCCACTAAATATTTAACTATCTCAGTGTGTCCATCCTGTGATGCTATCCACAGCGGTGTAACATTTCTGACATTATAAATATTGACATCAGCACCGTGTTCTACTAAATACTTAACTATCTCAGTGTGTCCCTCTTGTGATGCTATCCACAGCGGTGTAACATTTTTATCATCATAAATATTGACATCAGCACTGTGTTCTACTAAATATTTAACTATCTCAGTGTGTCCATTTTGTGATGCTATATACAGCGGTGTAACATTTTCATCATTATAAATATTGACATCAGCACCGTGTTCTACTAAATATTTAACTATCTCAGTGTGTCCATTTTGTGATGCTATCAACAGCGGTGTAACATTTTCATCATTATAAATATTGACATCAGCACCGTGTTCTACTAAATATTTAACTATCTCAGAGTGTCCATTTTGTGATGCTTTATACAGCGGTGTTACATTTCTGACATTATAAATATTGACATCAGCACCGTGTTCTACTAAATATCTAACTACCACGGTGTGTCCATTTTGTGACGCCATGGACAGCGCTGTAACATTATCATTCCTATAAATATTGACATCAGCACCGTGTTCTACTAAATATTTAACTATCTCTGTGTGTCCATTTTGTGATGCTATCCACAGCGGTGTAGTATTTTCATCATCATAAATATTGACATCAGCACCGTGTTCTACTAAATATTTAACTATCTCAGTGTGTCCATTTAATGACGCCATGGACAGCGCTGTAACATAATCATTCCTATAAATATTGACATCAGCACCGTGTTCTACTAAATATTTAACTATCTCAGTGTGTCCATTTTGTGATGCTATATACAGCGGTGTAACATTTTCATCATTATAAATATTGACATCAGCACCGTGTTCTACTAAATATTTAACTATCTCTGCGTGTCCATTTTGTGATGCTATATACAGTGGTGTAATATTTTCATCATTATGAATACTTAAATCAGCTCCGTGGTTAACTAACTGTTCAACAACCTTAAGATGTCCTTTTTCTGATGCTACAAGCAGTAATTTTTGGTAAAATGTATCTTTAGAACTTAAATTATAACCGTGACTGAACAAACAGTTTAAGATCGACAACTCATCTTGATAGAAGTTTTGTTGAAAACAATAGGACTGCCAGTTCTGAGGGAGACTACGTTTTGATGCAAGAATTAGTTCATAAAGACATGTAAATCGACTACTTGTATTTGATTTGAAAGTTTCCATTTTTTGTGAAATACCAATGGTTTTTTGAATGAAGTTACGAATGACTTGATCTTGAAATGCATCTCTGTTGTTACATTGTGAAATTAAATATTCTTTCACAGAATCATAGTTATTTTCAAATGCAATTGAGACTGCTATTTTTCCATTTTTGTCTACAGAAGTTGTGTCAGCATTGTTTTCCACCAAAAGTTTCACAATATCAAGGAAGCCTCTTTCTGCCGCTTCATGTATAGGACACCTGTCCTCATCATCAGCAATATTCACATTAGCATTTCTTTGTAACAATATTTCCACTATTTCACATCTAGACATACGTGATGCCCAGAATAATGGAGATCGTCCAGAGTTACTGACTTGGTTTACATCTGCCTTGCAGAATAATAGGGTTTCTACAACTGTGGTATATCCTAGTCTACAGGCAGTGGTGAGAGGTGTGTCTCCCTCAAAGGTATTATCCCTACTATTTACATCGGCTCCTTCTTTAATAAGTTCCACAATTACTGACTTGTTGTTGGATATTACAGCAGCTGTTAACGGGGTGTAACATAGGTGCTCATTATAAGGGTCAAACGTATCATTTGGAGCAAGGTTAATATATGAGTGCCCTAGCCAATCAATGAGTCTGTGTACAACATTTACATTTCCTGTCAAACACGCCAACACAAGCAATCTGGAACCGTCCGTCCTCTTTATCTCCAGTAATTGCGGAATATTTTCAAATCTGTTAAGAATGTAGTTTAAAAAATGTACATGTCCAAAATAAATGAGCCAACTCAATGCCACAATACGAAATTGAGGTTCGTCATTGTTATATTCAAACTTGCCTTTCCCTTTTCCACGGTAAGCTTTTATTTTAATTGTTTCCCCCCAAAGGAGGTTGTGTCTATAGTAATCTAATCCCCAGTATTTTACTTTATCCGAAGTTTCTTTACTGTAGCTTACCATATTCATCTCGGAGGAATGAATCGTTAAAAACATGTCTGCTAAATCTCTATTAGGTACATCATCAAGGTAAGAAATAAAGTAATCTAAAAATTCCTTGCTTTTAAGAGCTTTTCCATCAAAAACGTCGTAGAAATGAACGTCTCTAATATCTTTCAACAGTCTTTTTGCAAGCAAGATGTAATGTTTCTTTTTAAGGCAGATACAGAGATTCGTACACGATGGTTCTACAGCTTCTTCAGTGACAAGAACATTATTTGCAATATAACTACTCCTCAGTGATTTGAGAACCTGTTCTGGGAACTTGGAAGCATGGAGATAGGCCACAACCTCAAACAATGAGTCATGGTAGAATGAATAAATCTTATTTTGTTTAACAAGATATGTTCCAGTCAATTCTTTTAATGACCTGCGTATACGAGGCAAACTGACGTCGAAGTTATCGCTAATCGCCTGAAAAGATTCAGAAACCTCCTCCTTTACCAAGTAATTATCCTTGAGCATACATAATACAAGTGCGGCATAATGGGATTCGTTTTGGTTCCTCATTTTAATGAACTGTTCTATGATACTCTGATATGGTTTTTCAAAAAACAGACTTCCCAATTTCTGGTTTTCTTCACCTTTTGAAAATAATCGGCATAAAAGAGGAAACATCGCCATGCCTCTTTTAAAGTTGACACTCTTGTAAATCGTTTCATCTATTCCTGCTCTTTCACAATGTGAATTTAATATTTCCTTCATTTCATTCTCACTTGGCATATAATCTGGACTTCCAATATCAATAACATTTTTTAAAAAACTAGGTTGTTTTTCGCATTCAATAAAGACTGATTTTCTACAAGTAAAAATAAATTTTGTTTTCTTTGACAGATAAATGGATTCAAACATTCTTTCAATGGAATTGGAAATTGATCTGTCAAAGCCAAAGACCCCTACAGGATCATCGAGAAGAAAGACTTGGTTGATGCTGACAAGACGATAGGTCATCATGTCTTCGATGTGATTCACAGGTATAATTTCCCAACCTTCCTCCTGTAGTTGAAGGCATACCCGCCTGGCAATGAATGTTTTACCCATTCCAGGTCCGCTAATTATTGTCACGATATCTTTGGATTCAATTTCAGATTTCACTTTCTGAAATGCTCTCGTTTCGAAAAAAACCGTTTGCTCTCGTTTCCATTCCTCAAATATCTTTTCATGTTGTTCTGCAAAATATGTACTCTAAATTATTTTGATTTAAATTTACACAATATATCACGATATCATTTACCAAATAATTTCAAAGTTTCTTTTAGAATTAAAAATCATTTGTTATTTAAATTATTTATAATGTTACCACGGATATTAAATGGGATGTGTTTTCTTTCCAGTTTTTCAACTCTTTTCTTTAGGAGAGAGAAATCGTCTAGTATGCTTTGTTGCTCCATTCTGTCAAATTTCTTTGTAGATAGGGAAACAACATCAGCATTAAGAGAACCGCTGCTCAAACGTCCTATAGCCTAGAGGAAGAATGAAATAAGTAATAATTATTTGACAATTTGATCTGTATGGATTCAATATGCTTATAGTTTAATTTTAATGACCCTGTTATTAAAGATTCGGGACATATAATTTTAGGTCTGTTCGTCTGTCTGTCTGATTGTTTGTTATGGCCATCTTTTAATCAATAGGCCCATAGGCCACATCGCTCACCTGAATACCTTTGACCATGCTGTTCTTTATCAGATTCCCCTTGTAAAACCTTTTATGACCCCACTCATAGGGGTCATGACTTGAACAATTTAGAATCTACACTACCTCAGAATGCTTCCAGATACCAGTAAGTTACAGCTTTTCTGGCCCAGTAGTTCTTGAAAAGGAATAAGTTTAATAACCCCACCCTATTTTTGTATTTTCTTGATTATCTCACCTTGTGAGAGGACCTGACCTTTTGTTTTAAAGATTAAAACTACCCTTTAACTAAGGATGCTTTGTACCAAGTTTGGTTAAAATTGGCCCAGCGGTTCTTGAGAAGACGTCGAAAATGTGAAAAGTTTAGAGACGGACTATGGACAAAATGTGATCAGAAAAGCTAACTTGTGAGCTAAAAATGTTTGGTTCCCCTCCATCGACTGACAGACTATTAAATGTCCAAAAACTCAAAACGCTTTTTTTTTTCAGGATAAGATATTTTTTCTTTTTATTTCTTTTTTTCCCATTAACAAATATGTTGACATTTTCGGGAAAAAAAAAGATTTTACCACCTACTTTACCACCATTTTAAGGGTGGCCTAATCCGTTTGTCTACAAAAGCTATAAACTTGCCCATAACTTTTTATAAAATGGTTGGTCTAAGGTCTATGAATGTCACATGTGAATTCTTTCTGGAAAAAAAAATCTTTCTTTGGGTATCAACAAATCTTTCCTTTTCATTTTGATTTTAATGTTTGGACTACGATTGCAAAATTTTGCTAAACCTTAATATTGGCATTAGTTTTTGATCAATGAGTGATAGACCGTTAAAACTTTACATGTATTGATTTTTGAAGTTCGCCCTACTTTAAAAAAATTAATCTTGGCGAATTTAATTAAATGACTGTTGCTAATGATTTCATATATCACATGTAAATTTTTGGTGAAGAGTTCTTCCTTTGGATATCAAAATTGTAAATTTTAAGCGGTTGGTGCTAGAACTTTCAAATTTCAATTACGTACATGTATTAATTGTGACGAGGCTTTTCGTATATATAATACCAATATTTTGGATTTTTTATTTGATTTTGGGATGTGGACTGCTTTTTGGAAAAAAACCCATATTATTTGTATGGTCGGTTCTAGTGCTTTCGTAGTTACTTATTTGCTCCATATTCCTTGTGATAAGACCTTTATTTGGTTACCAATATTTTTCTTAACTCTTAGCCTTGACTTCTGTGTTTGAAATACATTTAAAAACTTAAACCTTGGCCTTAAGCTGGCATACGAAAGAATCAGTATTTAATATTCAAATTCATATTTCAGCCAACAGCTAGTAGAATGACATTTTAACTAGTCAAAGCTAAGATTCTTGATGTAATAGGCACTTGCTATTAACAGATTGACTAAAATAAATAATTGGAAAATGTGTCCACAATGTGCCCTCTTCGTTATTCTACAACAAGTGCTCCTTTTTTAAATTTGACTCTTTTTTAGCATTTAAAATTTTAAATGAGTGACTAACATTGTTCTTAATGGAAATTACACTTAAGCTGAGGAATGAATAATTGAAGGAATTTGTTAAGTGATATCATACCTTAGAAATATTTAACCATTTGGACTTAAATGTTGGTAAATTCATGGAAGATTTTCCGTGACATAATGAGTTTCTGGCGAATCTTATTCTCTCTACATCATCACCCTGTGAGATATCACAAGATCTTGGCTCCTTATTCCAGCCGCTAGTGGGCGCTGCAATTGCTACGGTGTTGCGCAGAAGAGTGTACAAAAGAGAGGTATCAAAGTCAGCTGAGGAAACTGTTCCACCGGCAGCTACAGAATAAAATGAAGGTGTGTTAGCCTAAACTATAAACCTTTTTATATTTTGGTTGTACAAAAATGTTTTTCAAATGTAATTCAACTGTTTCTATTGATATCATTGACTATATATTTGAAAGATACTACTTGTACATGAATATGCAATGATACATGTATTCTTGGTAAACCTGTAGATGGAGGTTAGAAGCATTTACAAACTGATATCAATGATATGCTCACTTTCCTATTACACCTGATCCCACCTTATGTTTTGGAGGTCCTTGTTTGCTCTGCTCGTGTTTTGTATTGTTTTATGGACTTTTGATCTTGAATACTGTTCGCTGTCATCATATCTTTCATCTTGTTCATGATGCATATACTAAATGACTGTATTTTCTAAGTATATTCGTCGCCCGCGTGGCGCAGTGGTTAGAGCGTGTGCTCTAGAGTCACGAAGTAAGGAGTTGATCCTTATGTCTCGGGTTCGAATGCCACTATGGGATGTGGAGATCGGTCCTTCGGATGAGACCATATAAAAAGAGGTCCTTTTAGAATTAACATTTTCCCTGTGTGCAGATATACTGCATTTTTAAGAAAGACTGCAAACAGATCCACCCCATATCTAGTTTCCCATTTTTAGCATATTTTCAAGGAAGGACAATTCAGTTCAATTTTTAAAAGTTTACAGGGGTGGCAGACTTGAATTTTACACTAGCTAACAATGCTTCATTGTCAATATAACTAATTACTTTGCTGTCCTGGAGGAGAAAATTCTTTTTTAAAAAAATGATATTTCATTTTTTGGGCCACATATATATGACCATTCTGTTCTTTACCATATTTCCTCCTTGTAATACATAATGAATCTCCACCCTACCCCAATGATCATAATTTAGACATTGTGAAATCTACATTACCCCTTTTAATGTGCAAATAATTTTCAATATTTCTGGCCCAGTGGTTCAAAGATTTTTCCTATATATTTCTATGTAAAAAAAATTTGGATTCCCCATTGTGGCCCCCCCCTTCCCCCAAATGAACAATTTACAATCTACACTGATGCTTTCACATAAGTTTCACCATGGTTCTGTTGAGAAGAAGATTTTCAAAGATTTTTCCTATATATTTCTATGTAAAACTTTAATCCCCCATTTCTAACCCCGGGGGTCATGATTTTTGACAACTTAGCTTCTACACTACCCCAGGATGCTTCCACATAAGGATTTTCTGACCCTGTTCTTGAAAGAAGATTTTCAAAGATTTTTTCCTATATATTTCTATGTAAAACTTTGATTCCCCATTGTGGCCTCGCCACTCCCCCGGGGGTCATTTTGAACAATTTAGATTCTACACTATGAAGGATGCTTCCACATAAGTTTAAGTTTTTTTGATTATATCCCCTTTGAGGGAACTTGGCCCTTTATTTTAACAATTTCAATTTTCCTTCACCCAAGGATGCTTTGTACCAAGTTTGGTCAAAATTGGCTCAGTGGTTCTTGAGAAGAAGTCGAAAATGTGAAAAGTTTACAGACGGACAGACGTAACGGACAACGCGGACAAAATGTGATCAGAAAAGCTCACTTGTATCACCGGCCCCCTCCCAACTTTAAGAAATTTGAATCTGTTCTATTTTTGTTGATGCTTCCAAATTAAAAACAGTAGTTAAATATATATCTTAATTTTAAGATTCTGTAGCATACAGAGAAAGACTTACGAAAATTATGAGTATATAGCGAAGATATGACAATTCAACTGCAAGAATTGACTGCACAATATAAGTGCCGGAAAAACAAAGGTTGTATTAACCGTCTCTCTTTCGTATATGTCAAGGTCACGCTACTCTTATTTTTAGCTCAAACTTGTAAACAAAATTCAACTGGAGCATTGCAAAGGTGTGAAATATGTTCTAACAACTTTTTAAAAAGATTACCCGGTACATCAAATTTTTTGGTCTACTTATATTCATTCGTGGATACCTGAGACCATGGTAACTATTGAAACATATTAAACACTTTTTGCGCACGCGTATGATAGGGAGGAAGAAGTGGTATTTTGCAATATTTTCGTTCTGGGGCAGACAGAAATTAAATACTTTTATTTTCATAAAAATTTAATTTTTAGGTTCTGAAAAATTTTCTGAAAACAATATTTTAAGGAATTGAACAAAATTTAGGTCATGAAAATTCTACATTTGTCAATTTTCCCCTTTGTGCTCACTGTGCCACTTTAATAGACTAACCATGGCTGAGATGTTCTCTTCCCCTAACTATTATGTAAAACTGCTATTCTCCACTGTCTCCTTATGTAACCCCGCGGTGTCATTGTTTAAACACATTGAATCTACAATACCTAAAAAGTCATATTAAGATGACTTATCATGGAATTGCTGTTGTGGAAAAGATTACTAGTATTTTTCAAATAAATTGAAACACGTCACCCCCCCCCCCCCCCCTAAAAATGTGGCTCTTTATCACCATTTTAACACTTTGATTCTACATATGTAAACTGTAACGTAATTAAAATTTTGTTGGTTAATTCTTAAAGGAAAATTAGATATACCAAATTTCAGATACTAGTATTACTGAAAATCTCTCCTTGGAAAACTATATGCCTTTCATTAGAAATTCATTTTATCTTTCATGCTTTTTGAAAAGTTAAGTAGTAATATATTCTGTGAGAAATTGTCAAAATTATATAAAGACGGAGAAACAACAGACGTACCATAGACAAAAGTAATCAGAAAAGGGTAATTATACTTCTAAACTACCATGAAATGATTTTGAAATAAATTGTGTAATTAATATATAAAAACATGTGAAACATTGGTTTGAAGATATATTCATGATTTGCAGTTGGTGTAATTTTTTCAACTCATGTGTGTTTTTATGTCAACCTCTGCCATTTAGGCTCGGGAATATAAACACACATCTCCTTAGATAAAAATAATCAAAGATTATAATTTCAACCTCAACGAATGTTAATAAAGTAGGCAAATCCTACATCATATTTTCTTAATATTAAGTATTCATCCCAACAAAAATATTGGCAATGTGCTTAACCCTCTACATGGCATATATATATTTCTGTTTGTTGAGTTTAATAAACATGTATTGTGAAACAAATATTCATAATGTTTAACTGCGGATATCAAAGCTTCATTCATTTGTCTTTATCCCAAAACTTGTAATTGGTGGACCTTGTTTGGAAAATATAGGCAGACCTATACAAGTCTTTTTGTCAATAAAATGCATCATCCATGCAAGTTTAATTTAGCTAACTTATAGTTACTTGGAAATGAAAATGTTCAGTTTACTTTATTTTCTTCAAAATCTTAGTGTAATTTCCAAAGATAATTGCAATGCATGTTTGTAAACTTACAGTTACTTGGGAAAAAAATGTTCAGATCCAGCAGAAGCAAATTTAGTGACTACATCATCTATGCAAATTTGGTTAAACATTTACTTGGTGCAATGAAAATAAAAGTTACCAGATCTAGTCCTATTTTTACTTGCTTCTGTTTATCATAATAAAAATGACACCTTTTCTTTAATTACATTTTTTTAATTAATAGTCTTATTTTTTGGCTTTAAAAAGTGCATCTATGTTTTGTCAATTATTAAACAAGTTTATCAAATCTTAAATTTTTTAAAAACAAAAATAGTTCTTGCCACATGAAAATGTAGGCATTTTGATCCAGCAAAAAGGGCAAATATGGTTAAAGAATTTTTTTCCCTTTGCATCATCTGCAATGTTTGGTTCTTAATATGTATTATTGTATTTCCATGTAAATTTAGGATTTTTAGATATCCTGTTGCACATAACATTGAAATTTTTTGGATGTCATTCACAAATTTCAATAGGCTTATAGACTGTGGAATACATTCAAAAACTTTCCCTTCACTCATCTGAATTATTGAATCATCTGAAAGTAAGCATTAATGATACATCCCTAGATGCATCATATGCATATGTTCTGTCGGTGATTTATGGAAAATGCAAAAAAGTTTTCACCTGGTCACTCATCTGGCAAAATTTATAAACAGTTCCGAAGCAAGTCTGTAGTGACCATCCTAGATTTAATAGTGAATTTCTTTGCGAAAACAATAGGAACATTCATGGGGTTTTCTGTGTTTAGGACCTATTTGATTGAACTTTTCAACTGTTAAAAAAATAAAATTATATGCCTCAACATTTATTGTGATCCCTAGATGCATCATTTATGCAAGTAATTGTTCAGATAGAAAAACCTTATAGTTTTGCAATGGAAGTAAATTTTTAACCAACGCCGTTGCCTCGCCAAGTCTCGGGGATAAAAAAAACACACAACTTGTTGGATAAAAATCCTATCCAACTACAAATCATGGGAGATCCTTTATTTATTACCAGGATATAAGACGGTCAACTGTTGAGGATTACAGCGCTTCTTTAACGTTGTTTGTACTTTCTTCAGGTGACTGGTCAGCGTCACAGGTGGGACAAACGAGTCAAACAGAAATCTAACGGCACGTGTACCAAGCTGGGCTAACAGATAATAACGTAGAAAATTGTTCTCCTCGTCTGTAAGTGTGTTTGAAGTTCCTAAAAATATACAATCAAAAAAGTAATGAAAAACAATCATACTGATGGATACTGGTAGATGGTTTTGAACAAACAGAGAGCACATAGGTATAATCTGGAATATTTATCAAAATCAAAAATGACTACCAGTATTATTCTCTGGAATTATTATTTAAAAAAATCAGTTGTCTGGCAAATTGCTTGCATTTTTAATAAAATAACATAAGATTTTTCAGGAAAATCATGTAAGCTACATTTTATTTGAACGATTCAAGTGTTGATAAAGTGTGATTGTTAAAATTGTTTAAGTTATCTATACTAAAACTTAGCATAAATTTTGCTAAAAATAAAAAATGTAAATATAAATAAACGATAAAACCTACAGCATTTGTAAAGTGCATTTGCTTTTCTGTTGCATATTATTGGTATAATTTAATGATAAACTCAAAATTTGTGCATTCGATTTTTCTCTCACCAGGTACGTTAGTGACAGGCACTGTAACTGCACAGTTTGATGTTTTTGTCGATGAGGTTGATACTGTACTCAGTATTTTACTGGTGGGGGTTACAAGACTTGAGACGGCAACACTCCAAATACTGGATGTTGTTACAACTTGACTTGACGAGGTGCTTGTTATTGAGAAACTTGGAACCTGATTGGATGAGCTGGAAGTCACTTGAGAAAATACTGCTGCTGAACATATTGGTGTTGCTACTGAGGAAGATGATAAGGTGCTTGATATTGCAGGGAATGCTGTAGGCAATGTTCCAGTGATTGATGTTAATTTAGTTGTCGGTACTGTTAATGTTGAACCACATGTTGTTATTGGTATGTTAGTTGTTGTTACTGTTGTCATTGTACCATGTCTTGTTATAGCCATGCTAGTTATTGGTACTGTTGATGTCCCATTTGTTATTATTGGTATGTTAGTTATCGGTAATGTTGATGTTGATCCATTTGTTGTTGTTGCTATGTTACTTGTTGGTAATGTTGCTCCATGTGTTGTTATAGGCATTTTAGTTGTTGTTACTGTTGATGTTGTACCATGTGTTGTTATGGCTAATTTAGTTGATTGTAACGCTGTTGGTACAGTTATTGATGATCTATTATTGTGTAAAGGTAATGTGGTAGATGACACATTCAGGGTGTGACAAGATTGGGTAACTGTCGTCTGACAGGAAGATGAAGCTGTCGTTATTACTGAAGCTGGAGGTTGTATACTGGAAGCTGTTGACGTCACCAAAGGTAATTCTGTAGAAAAGGATAATGACAAAATTTTAGAAGGGACATCCTTTCACATCATAATAATGTACTTCATCTGCTTAATATACGTACAGAGGAAAAGAAAAAGAATTTTAATGAAAGAATGCAGTTTCAGTTTATGAAAATTGGATCCCTAAAATCTAGAGGACCCCTTTGGAAGGGGTCATGATTTTTTAAAAATTTGGTTGTAGTCTAATTGCTTTTTTCAATCATTTCAGCAATTTTACTGCTTGAAGTTCAGGAGAAAAAAAATCTAAAAATAACAGTTATTCTTATGGTTTAAACCACTCCTCAGAGGGAGCATTTTATTTCAATTTTTTTTGTTCCCCTTTACCCACAGTTGTTACATTGATTGAAATTGGTTCATCAGCTTAAGGGAACGGTCTGAAAATGTGAACGCACAGACTAAAACAGAAATCAAAAGGTCACCTGAATGACTCGGATGAATTTAAAAAGCATCAATGTACCTTTTGGGATTTTTGCTTTCATTTTCTTCGTAATTTTGCATTGATGTCCATTACTGGTTTGATTGTGACTCTTCCTCTTTCGTCCTGGACATGTAGTATTGAATGGATGAAGTTTAC